TCTGATGTTACAGCAGCATTTCCAAAAACTCATCTGGCAGTGTTTTCATCATTACATGTCCCGAAACCAGGTGTAGACATGTCACTAAAAGTCTCATGTTTCTATAAAATTTATCCTGAATCTCCTTTTTCTTTGCTTCTACTCTCTCTTTGTCAAGTTGTCTAATTTGCCACTTTCTGATGTGAAGCCTATAGGTAATTTGCAAAATGCATTCCAAAACCTTTATCTAGGCATGGGGGATGGATATGCCAGATGCCAAACTTTCTTCATGTACAGTACATACCATTGTGATACATTAGCTATGTCGTTCATTTCTTTGGGCAATGCTCCACAAACATGACAGCACTGACCAGCTGTATCAGGCAACCAGCTGTAAATTTTTCCATCTATCATTTTTAAATATAGCTCAGAAGAACAAATCATAGTATTTCCATTCAGTTTTGCTTCATACAGATCAACTTTGATCTGTACGAGGTCTGTTCAAAAAATACGCAGACTGACGTCATAAAACAAAATGTACTTTATATAGAAGTTACATGTCTGGGTCCCCTTCAAAGTACACTCCTTCCGAACTCACACACTTATCCCAACAGTGTTTCCGCTTGTTGAAAAAGTCCTGGTACGTTTCTTTTGTAATGTCCTTCAACGCCTTCGTCGCATTTGCCTTAATCTCGGGAATTGCCTCAAATCTTCTTCCTTTCAAGAGTCTTTTGAGTTTGGGGAACAATAAAAAGTCACAAGGAGTAAGGTCAGGTGTGTAGGAGGGGTGGGGAAGAACAGTGATCGAGTGTTTGGCCAAAAACTCATGGGTTCTGAGGGTTGAATGGGTTGGAGCATTGTCGTGATGGAGAAACCAGTCGCCACTCTTCCACATTTCTGGATTTTTGCGATGGATGGCGTCCCTCAGACATTTCAGAACTTCAATGTAGTACGTCTGGTTCACTGTGGAGCCTTGGGGGAGGTACTTGTGATGAACAACACCCTTAGCATCAAAGAAAACTGTCAGCGTCACCTTGACATTGGATCGAACTTGGCGAGCTTTTTTGGGTCTGGGGGACCACTTGAAACATGCCGTACACTTCATAGCAACATCACCGTAAACTGTGTTGAGCATAGCAAATGTTTCAGTTGCAGATGCTCCAAGTTTAACACAAAATTTCACAGCAAGTCGTTGCACCATCAGGTCATTCATTCTGAAATCCAGCAAACAAAAAAATCACACTTCACTAAAAACTACATAGCTAATCAACAAATCAAGATATCTGTAATCGGGAAATGGCTTTATCACCAGACGATCTGTACAAACCTAACGACACTGAGCAGATTCCCCTGGAACCAACTGGAGCCGCGCAATTCAAACAGTCCGCGTATTTTTTGAACAGACCTCGTATGAAGCAAAACTGAATTTATTTCAGATTGAACTTTTTTCAATTTTAGTTTTTACCAGTTCTCAAGTTTCTTTTTTGAAAATGATTTTTATTGGATAACAATATTTTGTTGACAAAGTTGAAGGATTTTGCCATATAATAATTTTTTCACTTTTTTTTTTTTGCAACTGATTTTAAAGGAACAATAACCAGTATTTCATTTTGAGCTTGTACATTTATGTTGTGTATTATATTAGTCTGTAGTTCTGCTGATATTTCTGTATTATATTAAGCAGATAGCAGTATTTTTTCATTGACAGCAATTGCTCATAAGGAGGGTAAAGATTAACTTCATGATCCCTAGCATTTTCGTAAATAACTATATACTTGTGTTTTTATCTTGGTGTCCATATATATAAGGCAAAATCCTCAATTTGCATCATTTTAATTGGTTGGAGTGTCTTAAAATTTTCTTTACTTTGGTGACTCTTTTTGGTGAATAACATGTGGCTTCCTTCATTACAAGTCCTTGCATCCACAGTTATGTAGAGAATTTTTAGTTTTTATCATTTCACTTGCTCAGATACAGATTTTTTACTACTGTGTGATATGGCCATATAATCTCAGATTTGATTCTAATCTTAAATATAAACAGTCATTTTTCATGTAGAGTGGTTATCTGTGTATAGGCCTTGTGTATAGTTAGCATATCTTAAAACATCTAAGTTAAAGTGCATTTATAATTTTTTATTGTAATCTTAGATTCAGTTATAGTTATCATTATTTTCAAGCTTTTTAAGAAGTCTTTTCACCTTGAGATTGATAATATGAAATATTGGCTTCAAAGTGTGTCTAATTATACTTGCCAACCTTTAGAATGGGAATGGGAAAACTGATTCTGTGTTATGAAAAACAAATGCTGACAATGTAAACACAATCTAGTGACAACAATATTAACAGATTTTTTTTTTTTTTTTTTGAAATTTGATTAATATAATTTGCATTCACTATATTTTCACTTATTTCAAATAATATGAATCTATATCTACATTAATAACACATAAGACATCATTTAATGTCAATTTAAAAACTTGCCCTGTTTTCATCCTCTACTTTAAATTTATGCAGATCCTCTATAACAGTGTTTCCCAATGTGGGGCCTACGCCCCACAAGGGGTAATTGGATTGTTGATTAAGGGGACAATTAGAAAATGGACTCATCTAGAGTTTAAGTTAACTGTATATGTTAGGGGGGGGCATAAGAATTTTAGAAAGGCTTAGGTGGGGCATAGCACAAAAAAGGATGGGAAACACTGCTCTGTAATGTTTTGGAATTGCCACTAGTGAATCCTTAAGTGATGACAATAAGTATATTCTATCAAATTATGTACTTAAGTTATTAATGAACTTTTGAAAGATCTGATATCTTCAAATTTCTTACTTGAAAAATATATTCTTTTTGAATGAATTTCATGAAATAAAATAAGATCAAACAATCTGCCAGATTATATCAAACTATAATAATGCTACTGTTTAATAAGATTTAATTATTAAATAGTAGCCATATTATAGTTCACTATAAATTAAGTTATCAAAAAATGATAGAATGATAATTTTTTATTTTGTTATCCATTTGTATTTTATATGTTTAAGCATTTTAAATAATTGGGCTGCAATTTTAAAATTGCAGACCTATAAATTCCCACTGGTGTTCATCCGTCTGTCTGTTCTTCCTTAATCTCAAGAATGGAGTTAGTTAGATGAAAGTCGAGACAAGAAATGGAAAGCTTAGGAGCTGGAGGCCCTGATTAACTATATATATACACCTATGTTTTGAACCAGAAGTCACGTTATTTCAGTTCAAAAAATTTCTCCAGAACAGTTAGATGACTGGCATGACTCTTGTTAACAGGAAAAGTATGATGTACAGAGATAAGACATTACTAAAATCAAGAGCATTGTGTATTGCTATCTAAAAAATTGCAGCCCAGCATTGTGACAACGTAGCAATTAATAATTGCTCAGTTTGTAATACAAACTTGAATAAGACAAATGATTTGACAAAACAGTTATTCCACTAAATAAAATAGATCTTAAAATAAATGTAGTTGAATTGAATATATTCCTAAGAAGAAATAAAAATTTAGAAATATTTTGTGTTAATTTAGGAGAAATAGTACATGTAGAATATCAAGTTTCTTTCAATTGCTAAAATTTTAATGCTTAATTACTGGTTTAAATAATTATATTATGTCAATGGTGTGAGGTTTTGTGTGTGTATTGACATAATATAATTGTGAATAATTAAATTAATTAAATATAATTTTAACTAATAGAATAATAAAATATTTTATGGAATTAAAATTTCAGTGTTAATTTTTTGCAAAAGTACTGCATTATAAAACATAACTTAGAATTATTGGTACAAATTTTGAAAACTTTATATTTGATTAAAAGGATATTCTCAGTAGTATCTTGTCACTTATAAGAGAGTGTTAAGGATACTTTTGTTGATTGTATAAAATATGTTTGTTTTTAACACACAAAATTAGAATTTGTCAGTGATGTTAATATTGATATCTTCTAATTTTATTAATATTAGAAATATCAAAAAAATTTTAATAGATTATGGATTATTGTATTCACATGAATATAAGACACTTTTTTCAGGTTTTAGTATCTGAAAATAGGATGTCTTAGATTCAAGATCATAATTAGTGACCTCTAATGCCATACATCTTATTTCTCTGTCACTAATTCCATTGTATCATTTTAATTATTTGGTGACCAATATTTGTAATAGCAAATGTTTAAGAGGTAAACTTAGCTCAATCTCATTAGTCTATTATAGTATAACATCATAAATATTTGTATGAAAATCCCAGAAAAGTTGTGCAGCAGTCTTTTGATGCTTTAATTAAATGGTACTGAGCATGAATGCAGTGGGAAAACATAAGCATCAAATTCAGTGCTCATTCAAAAGAGCCTAACACAGAACTTTGATATCATGGAAGTCAGTGCTATAACTTATTTTACTGTGCAATAAAAACTCAAAAACTTTGTCAATATAACTGATTGTGTTGTTATAAATTTTTTCAGTATTTATTATTAAAAAAGTTTGTTCAATATTTAAAAAAAGAAAAACCATGGGTGATTATATAGAAATAAAGTTTATCTTGCATTTGATGGCTTGATTTGAGTAAACACAATTTTGTCATCATATGTAGATATATTCATCAAATGATAAGTGAATAACTTGAAACTAAGTTAATATTAAATTAGAAAGTAATAATGAATTAGAATCCATACTAGTATAGAAAATACCATGTAATAGTATAGATTTTGTTCACTGCAAATACAGTATTTGTTAATGTAAAAAATATAGTTATTGATAATCTACTTTTTATTTATTACCCTTGTTTCATCTGAAATGAAAAAAAAATCTTGTATAGAATAATTTATTGCTGAACTCTAGGGATACTTTCTATTTGTTATGGTAAATATATTTGTGGTGTGTAAATAAATAGTAATGTTTTCAAATTTAAATATGTCAATGTATTTACCAAGATGTGCTGTATTTGACAAGTAATTTTACCTTTCTGCTGTATGATTTATTTTAATTTTCTCTTTCAGATATCAAAGTCCAAAGAATTTGTGATCAGTCATGACCTCTCCAACACCCTCCCTTTCTGACATGCCAGCCTTTGGTACATCACCATTAGGTAGCCTTGGAGAACATAACCATCTAGATACTCTGTTATCAACACAATGCACTATGTGCCATGAAACTTTTACTCTTCCTAAAGTTTTGCCTTGCTTTCATACATATTGTCAGCCTTGTTTAGAGAAAGCTCAATCTTCAGATAAGATCAAATGCCCACAATGTAATCAAGAATCTTTATTGTCTCCACAGGGCATAAATGGCTTATTATCTGATTATGCTATTAGCAATGTTTTAGAGACAGTTGCTATGGAAGGTACACCTCTGAGTTGTACTGGGTGTAAAAGTAAAGAATCAAATGCAGTAGCACGTTGTTTTGATTGTGCCAATTTTCTTTGTCCTAACTGTGTTATGGCACATCAGTTCATGCATTGTTTTGAAGGTCATCGTGTTCTCACCTTGGGTGAACTTCAGAATAGCAAAGATGAACTGAAAGTTGAAAAACCAGTAACTTGCCCCAGACATAAAAATGAATTGCTTAAATACTTTTGCAAAACATGCAACTATCCAATTTGCAAAGAATGTACTGTTATAGATCATCAAAAAGGTCTTCACGATTATGATTATTTAGCAGATATTGGGCAGAAACACGTTGAAATGATAATTCATACTATTGAAGAAAGTAAAGCAAAAATTACTGATCTACAAAATGCTTTGAAAACTATAGAAAATTTTACAAATAGACTACAAATGCAGTATCATAAAGCCCAGGGTGAAGTAGATGAAACTTTTCGATTCTACTGTTCAATGTTAGAAGAAAGAAAACAAGATACGTTAAAAGAATTAGAAGAAATTTACAGCCGTAAAATTTTATCTTTAACATTATTAGAAGAAAAAGTTCAAGAAACAGTTAGCAAAATTCATCAGATGAGCAGTTTTGTTGATCGAATTCTAAAATTTAGTAATAATACTGAAATATTAATGTTCAAGCAATTATTAGATGTAAAATTTCAAACTGCTATGACTTTTAATCCTGAAGTTAATCTCCAAAATGTTGATCTGGAATTTGTTTCTAATTATCAGGCTATTCAGGTTGGAGTACGTAATACTTTTGGTTACATACGTCATGAACCTGAAAATCATGAATCTGGATCCACTAAGCCTCAACCAATAGCACGTCCAAATGGTATTGTAGGTTCAGAAAGAAGTTATCAAAATGGACATGTCTTTGAATCAAATGTAATTTCTAAACGATTTAGTTCTGTTAATAATCTTGGTCCATTTCCAGCTTCACTTACTGATGTAAATCCGTATGAAAAATGGTCTAGTGGTAATAATGAAATATTTCAAAATGGTAATGATGGCTATTCATTATCAAATGAACCAATTGTAGATCTCTCAACAAAATTTCATTCTACTACTATTTACCCTTTAAAATCTCAAATTAAACGTCAAAAAATGATTTATCATTGTAAATTTGGTGAATTTGGTGTAATGGAAGGTCAATTCACTGAACCTAGTGGAGTTGCTGTCAATGCCCAAAATGATATAATAGTTGCTGATACAAATAACCATCGTATTCAAATATTTGATAAAGAAGGGCGTTTTAAATTTCAGTTTGGTGAATGTGGTAAAAGAGACGGGCAGTTGCTGTATCCCAATCGTGTCGCTGTAGTCCGAACATCAGGTGATATAATTGTTACAGAAAGGAGTCCAACACACCAAATACAAATATATAATCAGTATGGTCAATTTGTAAGAAAATTTGGAGCAAATATTTTACAACATCCAAGAGGAGTCACTGTTGATTTCAAAGGACGCATCATTGTTGTTGAATGTAAAGTGATGCGTGTCATCATCTTTGATCAGATTGGCAGTATTCTACAAAAGTTTGGATGCTCAAAACATCTTGAATTTCCTAATGGCGTTGTTGTAAATGATAAACAGGAGATTTTTATCAGCGACAACAGAGCCCATTGTGTTAAAGTTTTTAATTATGAGGGTGTCTTTCTCCGACAGATTGGAGGAGAAGGTCTTACTAATTATCCCATTGGTGTATGTATTAATCACAATGGAGAAATATTAGTTGCAGACAATCACAATAATTTTAATATCACTGTCTTTACCCAAGAAGGGCAGCTGATAAATGCCTTGGAAAGCAAAGTAAAACATGCTCAATGTTTTGATGTTGCATTGATGGATGATGGTTCTGTGGTACTAGCAAGCAAAGATTACCGTCTGTATGTTTATCGATACATGCAAGTTTCAGGTATTTCCTTGTGAGGTCAGATTGTGAAATTGGATAACGTTTACAGCCGCACAATAGGAATTCAGTTCCTTTTTAATAATAGCACCAACTTCTTGGAGTGGCAATAGTTGCATGTTAAGTCAATGAATCAGTATATGATTGGTTAATTACAGTGTTCACATATTAATCAGGGCAGGGTATTGTTGAGATAACTCTCACAATATATATGTGATCTAATTGATCACATTTTAAGGAAAAAAAATTTGTTGCAGTATAAGTTGAGTCAGATTAAAAGTTTTCATAGTTCTCATAACTTGTTGTTCTGGCCTCACATGTTATGTCTGGTTAAATGACCAACATATCCATCCAGCAAAAAAGTAGATGGGCAATTGATGAAGTATAAAAATATGTGTTTGCATTCTTCATTGCAAGATAAATTTAGAATCTGAAGGGAAAATTAAATAGTTAAGTCCATTTTTGTTGCCTCTATTTAAGCACCAATTCTGTCTGTAGTGATACTGTTAAACTGGAAAATGTTGTAATGCCTTGCTCATTAATTAGGATGGATGAACTTTATTCCTTCTACTTGTATATGCAACACTGTCAGATTGATAGTGTATCAAAATTTTTATCCATCAAATTCCTCCAACATTTTATGAGAGTTGAAAATGTTAAAAATATAATCAGCTCTCTTATTGGTGCACTCAAGTCCATTACATCTATTTAAATAACTGTTCTTGTATGGTGGGAGAAGTTGCTGGTTCTAGTCAACAACCAGTACCAGGTTACAAAGCTTCCACTGCTCGTTTTTTGAAAGTTAACACTTTTGTACAACGTTAGATTTTTCTGACAGTTTATCTTATTTATTGTGGACTAACCTTTTTAAAAGGCATGCCAAAGATGCATGACACACTTGCTGTGATCTTTGAATTGTGGGGCCACTTGTTAAAAAAAAAAACTAGTTGTTAGACACACAGCCAAGCAACATTGTCCTGCCTTAAAAACAAGTGCAGAATGCAGCTAGGTAAACAACTATTACTTGCATCTTTTGACTGTCTTGTCTGCCAGATCTGATCTTCCAGAATTTGCAGGCATTTTTCCTGTACATATAATTACAAAGAAACTTCCAGTTTTTAATCAGTTACATTTAGGATTTTGTGCCAATATCTTGTTAGTTTTTAGCATTTAACTTGTGTTAGTTTTTATTTATTAATATGTAAATTTCTTCTCGTCATTAGTACTAAAGTATGTAGCACACGCTTTTAAAATATTTTTGCGATGATTTTTAGCAAAAATAATCATGCCATAACTAGTCATGATTCTGCTATTATAGTAAAAGCATAAAGGCATTTTTAAGTTCTGTGATCAGGTGTATTTACCCATCTAGCCTTTCATTTCACCCTCTGTATGCTTTATATTTTAGCTAATATGTTGTTCCTGTATGTAAATTATAAAAAGTTATTTAATTTAGAGAGATTAATTTCACTGCCTATCATTTGTTTGCAAGAATCATGATTTTGTTGGAATAGTTATACTTGCATTGAATGCTGTAAAATAATCTTTATTTTCTTTTATTTTGGTAAAGTTATTAATTAATTGTGATTAGTTATAAAATATTTTAATGTTGAAAATTAATACATGTTAAGTTTGAGGGATTGCATTAATTTGGGACTAAGTTGTGCCACATCTTTTGATTTCCATATCTATATTATTGTTAAAAATTTGAAATTACAAATGTTTTTGGATATAAATAAGAATATATCTTTTTCCACATATATCTACTTATTAATTACAGTAATTTTTATAAGGTGTAATTTATCGTGACTGTTCTGTGATTTGTGTGTGTAAATTAAAAAGAAGAAATTTTTACTTTAGCAATAATTTTACTTGCAATATATATCATAAGCACTAAATATCCCAATGAAGAGAATATATGTTACATTAGAAATATATTTGCAAGTAATTTATGTAAAGTAATTTTGTAATTGTTTATTACATTCATTTGTACCTATATATTTATATACAGTATAGTATAGTAATAACACAAAAATGAAAATCTCAAATAGTTAAGAGTATCCTTCTTGTTGATTCGGAAGTGAATGTTAAATATTGTATGCAATGGCTAGTTTAAAACAATCACGATAAAATAGCAGACAGCTTGCTCATGTTATTGTTTTTTTATTCAAATAGTATAAGACAAAAAAAAAGTAAGGTAGCTACCTCGTTTGGGCTGCAGTAGTCAATTTATGCAATCATTCCTGTATTTTTCGGTGGTTATTTTGTTATTAAATACATGGAACTTAGCAGATTGTTAAGTGCAGCCTTTTATTTTTTAAAAAAAGAAACTGATCTCATCATAATTACTTATTTAAATATTTTTTCTATTATTATTATTATGATTCATTTTATTATTATATTATTATTATTATTATTATTACAATGATTTATTATTATTATTATTATTTTACTTTTTTAAATCAGTTTTTGTCTGCTTCCTATTGTGATGTTTGGGCAGTGGTTGCTTTGATGGCTTGACTTTTGAATTTTAGAAATATTAAGTATTGTAGTCTTGTAGTTTGTAGAATAGTGAGCATGTTCATAACTTGAATATTCTGGTATCAAGTTAACACATATTTATAGTATATCACTATAATAATAAGTGTTTGCCTTTCTACTGTGAAACTAATGTGAATTTGTAAGTAATGTCTTTGTAAGCTATATGTGCAAAATCAATTAATATAATAGCACAAGTTAGATTTTTTGTAGCTTCTTAACCAGTCTTTTTCCTAAAAAAAACAAAAAATATATATAACAAATTTACTCATGTCAATATATTTTTGTTCCCTTCTGTTGTAGTTAAATATTATAATAGTCAAAATAATGCTCAAAAACCCCACAGAACAAGTTAATGCCTTGATTAGTGAATGTTTATATTTTCAGATGGCATTAATAGTGGTTTTGTAGTAGAATTTTTACAATATGTTAGTACCAATCATTTTGAAGTTGATTGTGAATTTTCCAACTCAGAGTAAATTTTTCTATATAAAAACAGCTGTTGTTATGATAAAAACTTGTATAACCATTTTTAAAAATGTAATTTGTTTGCTTGTGACTAAAAACTTCTGGTGTACTTTAAAACAATTTGGACAGAATCCACGTCCTAATGTTTCTCCTTTTTGGGACATATAAGTGCCAATAAAGGAGCTATAATATTGCAAGAGTGAGATGCAAGGGAGGTTCCTTTCCTTCTCCCTTATACTTAAAATAGGTATATTTAAAAAAATTTTATCTCTTATGCATGGAAGCACTTTTAAATGATTATATGTTGATTGATTTTTTATTTTAATGATTTTGTTACTTTGTTTTTTCATTCATCTGTTTTTCACATAAGTTAAAAAGTTACATAGCAGAGTTTTTGAATTTAAAGTTAGTTAATGCTATGTAACTAGTGAATATATATTTAAATGAAACATTTCGGTTATAAAATGTTTTATGGTATATTAAAATGTTCTCTTTTTTAATTTTATTGTTTTTATTTAATCTGTGTTTCGTTGATTGTATAAGAACTGTTTTTTACGTCAATCTTGTTGGCAAATATATACAGTATATGACTAATGTTCATGATTGCTGTATTCAAACATATCTACGTATGACGATAACGTAGCCACTCTAGGAAAAAAAAATAGTAATGTCAAAGTTGTGGTAGCTGTTGCATATATAACAGGTTTTCTCCACTATGCAACATTTTCCTTCGATTTCATTCAAATCTATCTACCCTTTCCTGTTTCCCCATCTGTGAAAAAGTAAGTAAAAATATTTTGGCATGGTGGATTTTTGATAATCTTGTTGGATATTTGTAGATCTGTTACTTCCATGTTGACCACTATTTTTATGCTATAAATAGCCCAAATGTTTTTGTGGAGAAACCTGTTAATTCTTTCTGTATCCGTGAAAGTACGTGCAGTGCTGTCATTTAAAAAGTTTAATAAAAAAAAGCAATGTGTGCACATTTATTCTATTAATACTGTATATTGCGACTTTGTCAGGCATGGTTTCCAAAGTGCCCTCATCTTTGACATGGTTGTATATCTTGCTGGAAAAAAACTGTTAATATTTACTAAATTGCTACTGTGTACTGTTATAACATTCCATATATAATAATCAATAAAGTGGAACGTTTTTTTCTAACTGGGATCAGTATTATCATCATCACTTAGTATACTGTTCATCTGAAAATATCACTGTCACTGTTAATTATTGATATATATTATTTCTTATATATAGATATTATTTTTAATTACAGTNACTGTTATAACATTCCATATATAATAATCAATAAAGTGGAACGTTTTTTTCTAACTGGGATCAGTATTATCATCATCACTTAGTATACTGTTCATCTGAAAATATCACTGTCACTGTTAATTATTGATATATATTATTTCTTATATATAGATATTATTTTGCTGTAAACGAATTTCTAGCGACTCGGATTCAAAAATAAAATCCATTCGCTTTTTTCCTTTTTTACTGGGGAAATGGTTTCCTACACAGACATCCTTAGCTCATCTCCTCCCTCGATCACGTAAAAATGGTGCTCGATCCATCAACAAAAAGCAAGGGTGCTCATTTTACCGTCTTCCTTTCCGTTAATGTTAACAAAATGGAGCAGGGAAAACTTGTTAATAAAAAATTTTCTTGCCACTGTTTTTTGCATCGAAACAAATGTCATTTGTCGTCCGCGCATTTGCGTGGCGCGTTTTTTTGTTGTGCCTAGTCATGGACCAACCCGATCATGCCGCAGGTTTCGGCGTTCCTTAAGGAGAGCTTATTGCCAAAGAAAGCAACGATCTTCCTAATGCATATCGCAGAAGGACCAGACTTTTACTTAGGAAGACAAGTACCCAAGATCCACTTAAGGTCACAGCACTTCTACCTGATGTAGGGAAATCGGGAGATGAACTAATTGTCTGACTGGAATACTCCCTGTTTGTTGGCGATATCGTCAATAATCCCATATTTCTGATACGGTCGCTTTTATTCGTTTAATAAATATCATTTTTTATTTATAATGAAAGACGTGAGAAAAATTTTTTAAAACCAATTTGTGGTGATGTAAGAGTTTTATTGTCTTTCATATGTTTGTTATCTTGACTGTATTACGAACAGCATTCAATAAACTATTTTTGTTTGGCGTACTTTTTGTCTGTTGTATATTTCAGATTAGTGTTTCACTTACACTTTTAACTAAAATAAATAGACGAATTTAAGTATTAAATATATCACAGCTTTGCGGTTAGATAACGGTGATTAAGTTAGAATAATACTGTGTACATCGTAAATAGTAATTGTTTTCTAATAGAATTACTTAGAAATAAATAATGCGAGGGGGTAATATCCAGTAACTGAACTTTGGCGTCAAAAATTGTTTATATAGAGTGTTTTTAAATTTTTTAAAACTTGAAAAATTAGTATATTTTGTAATACAAAGCAATCAAAACTTGTAACAATTTATTTCTTTACGATGAAGAATTACGTTACAAAAATCTTTTTAAAAAGTTATATTTAAAAAAAGGTTGTTATTTTATTATAAATTTAGATCCATTTTACTTTCCCGGCTATACATAACAAAGTATGGCGATCTGTTAAAAAAATGACCCCCCCGAGATTTTTACATTTTTGGACTTACGACACCTTGAAACGTCGAGAAGTACAAAAAATTTCGGGGGTAATTTCTGTATGTATGTGGGGGCACGATTTTTATCATTGAAGCTTAACTCCTGTACTTTTTGTTGAAAATTTCGTAAGTTTTGCAGGGAGGTTTATTAGAGTGATCAATGCTACTAAATTTTGGTGATTAAAGGTCGAGGAGGTGGGGTCTTGTGTATCTCCAATAGGGTCGGACTTAATGACGATTTTACTCGTTATTAGTATTTACAGTTTTTTATAAAACATCCTTAACCTCAAAATTATGCTTTTTGCCATTTTATAATAGTTAAAAAATCTTCTAAATAAAATATAACAGATGGCGCCACCGAAATTTA